GGTAGAGGCTACTAAGGTAAGGCTTAGCGAGTATAGTCAACCCAAGTACTTCTAGGGGCAGAGATAGTGAATACTGCTTTCTATATTCTTCAAAGGGTTAACATGAGATCTAACTTGAATAAGACAACTTATGAGTTTCTTAACGATAGAATACATAATTTGTATCATCTAATGTGTTTATTTGTAATTATTCTATTTTAAATAAAGATAAATCATGTCCTTGAAATTTTGATGCAAAGGAAAATGAAGCATTCTTTTAGGTTATTTCTTAGTAGGTAATGCACATAGAAGATTTAATAAAATAATTTCAATTATTGGGGAGTCCACCCATGTTAAATTTGATGATAAGGAAGAAGCTCATGGTTTATTGCCTACAGAATGAAGATATGCATATCCCTCTGATCAATTTTGCGTACAATAATAGCTCCCAATCAAGCATATGTATGGCCCCTTCTAAAGCTCTATAAGATAAGATATGCAGAACCCCATTGCCTTGAATAGAGGTGGGTGAAAAGAATATGATAAGAACAACATTGGTTGATTTGACAGTCAAGGAAATTGTGTCATTGGAAATTCTAGAGAGAGAATGCCCGGTTCGAATTCTAGAGAGAGAAAGTTCGCCGCCTTGTTTTGAAATCGGATTTCGCGGGTTTTTTCTTGATCGGCGACGACTGCACCGGTGGATCACCGACATTTTAAATCAGTTTCTATGAATTCTCCATGGTCGTCTGGTGCTCTTCGGTCCAATGATAGAAGATCTAATGGGATAGTGATTAGGGATGGACCTAAGCCTTTGATCTGTCAAAAACAGGTTGAAGGTAAAGGAAAAAATGTGATGGTGGATAATCTGGCCGCACAGAAGGAGATGATTACTGAATGCATTCCTGGGATGAATGTTGAATATTCGGCTTCAGAGAATTTGGTTTTACGGGTGAGAAATTTTTCTAAGGTTCTTGATGCTTAGAAAGGACAAAATATTGGTGATGGATCTAGTTCCTTGGAAACCCGGAAGGATGATCCTCTGAAAGGATTAAATGAAGTTGCTGAGGCCTGGTCGAAGCCGATCAAGATTACGTTTGATAGAGATCGGATGGAGTTTTTTGAAGACGGAGTGGCGGTCAAATTGAATGCGGAAAGGGAGGCAGAGAATTCTAAAGTTTTGAAGAATTTGATAGTACTCAAAGTTTTGGGTAATGGCGTGCCATTTTCAGTTTGCAGTTCGGAGCTGAGGAGACAATGGAGTCATTACGACAAATTTAATTTGACATCAATTGGATTGGACTGGATACTCTGTTCGTTCAATTCGTTTGAGGTGGTTGACGAGGTTTTGAATGGAGGCCCATGGTATGTGAACAGATTGATCGTTGGTATGGATAGGTGGACACCTGCTTTTGATCCGAGTTCATTCTAAGGTATATTTGCACTGGTTTGGATTCGATTGCCTTGCTTGCCTTTGTATTGTTGGGATGAGGATAGCATAGCAAGAATTGCTTCTTGCTTTGGATCACCTATGTATGTGGATGGAAATACATTCCGGTGGAGCAAACGTGAATTTGCACGCGTCTATGTGTGAATTGATTTGGAGAAAAAACTTTTGAATGGTACATGGGTTGAAGGTTCTGCTAGGAGATTTTTCCAAAGGGTGGAATACGAAAAAATTGACCTTATGTGCTATCAATGCGGAAGGGTAGGCCATGATAAGAAGACATGTCCGGAAAATGTCACCTTGGTGATGAAAGATCAGTCGTTGAAGAATTCAGGATCAGATAAGGGGCAGGACAAATTGGGTGGACATGACATTAAGCATTCTACGGTGAGTACAGAGTATGGCCCCTGGATTCATGTCCAGTTCAAAAACAGAAGAGGTAGAAGAAACAATACATTTAATAAAAATGTGCAGGATACCGAAAGAAAACCAAAGCATACAAATCCTGATGATCAACAGGCTGCTCAGTCTGAGGAAATCCAGCTGAAGGCTATGATTGATTGTAATGTTAATGAAGCAGGTGGAGTTTCTGAAAAGGATGCTGAAAATGATATTTGTGCACAATCAACAAACCGGTTTGCTGTTCTGGACGAGGAAGAGGAAGGTGAAATTCTGGGTGACGTTGTAAATAAAGTTCAGATGGTTGACAAATGCTTGGAACCATTGGATCCATAGGTAAATCTTATTTCCATGAATTCTAGTACTGATGGTGTTAAGGTTAAGCTAGCCAAAGAATTGAAGTCATTGGGACCAGTTGACAGTGATTATCAAACGAAGAAGAAAAGGAATGGAAGGTTGAACCCCAACAGTGGGGGAAATCATTCTATACTTTTTAATTATGTCTTCAATCTTTTTCTGAACTGCAGGGGAGCGAGGAAGAAAGAAGCTTCTCTGTATATCTTAGGAAATGGTTAGAGATAAAATGTTTTCTTTATTGGACTTATGGAGACCAAGCTGTCCAGCATTGATAGAAGGGAGGTTGATTGCCTTATGGGAAATGAGTGGATTATTTTCACCACCTGCTTGTTTGGGATTTCTTGGTGTATCCTGGTTTTGTGGAATATAAAGTTGGTGTCATTTGAGGTGTGTGAAGCTTCTTCACAGGTGATCATTGGTAACTCTCGTTCCTAGCTTAGGAACTTGGAAGATTGCTACAGTTTATGGGAGTCGCTGCTTCAGAGGAGAGAACTGATCTTTGGAACCAGTTGGAAAAGAGCATGGAGAATTCTATTCCTTCTATTATAATGAGGGGAGACTTCAATGCAGTTTAAATAAGGATGAGAAGAGAGGAGGTAAGAGGTTCTTATTATTTCTAAGGACCTAGAGAAATGAAGAGCTCATGGTGAACTCAGATTTTCATGATATTGGATGTGTTGGGCCAAGATTCACATGGTGTAACAACAAAGAGGGCACTTCTCGTATTTGGGAAAGGTTAGACAGATGTATTATGAATTCATTGGCTATGCAGAAGCTTCCTTTGGTAGTAAACAGACATTTGGCGAGGATGGCGTCTGACCACTGTCCTATTGTGATTAAGATGGATGAAAGGGTGCAGCTTAAGTCGAAAACCATCAAGTTTGAAGATACATGGAGATCATATCCTGCGGCAAAGAGTATAGTTTATCATTCTTGGAAGAAGAATGATGTTGGTAATGAGTATATTATCTTACAAAAGAAGCTTAATTGTACCTTGAAATCATTATTTTTCTGCAGTAGAAACAAATGCAAAGACTTGAATGCTTTAAAGGAAAAATTGAAGAAGGAGATCCTTGATCTGCAAAATAAGGAAGCTTTGAATGATAATTGGTCGGATGATGACTTTTTTGAACTTAGAAACAAGGTACATGAACTCAATGTTACTATGAGAAGACTTTCAACTTGGTGGAATCAAAGGGCTAAGGCTAGGTGGCATGAGGAAGGTAATGCAAATTCCAAGCTTTTTCACAACTTTGCAACGGCTAGAAGGAATGGGAACCGTATTTTTCAAGTCAAAGATGAAGCAAATAAGTTGCAAGAGGAGGAGGATCAAATCGAGAAGGTATTCATCAACTTCTTTGAGAAGAAATGGAAGCATAGAGAATGTGAAATAACGGGTTGGCCTTCTATTATGGAGAATCAGAAGTTAAATGCTGAAGTTTTGGAGTTGTTAAATGCTGAATTTATTGAAAAGGAGCTGCAGATTTCGGTATTCCAGCAAGGGAACAATAAGTCCCCAGGTTTGGATGGCATTACCTCTTCCTTCTACAAAAGTTATTGGAATATAGTTTGGGAAACTTTATGGAATGCAGTTAGAAGCTTCTTTAATTCCAACCATATGTATAAGGAATGGAAAGACACTTTGATTGTCTTAATTCCTAAATTGAAGAACCCCTTGACTCCTTCAAACTATAGGCCCATTAGCCTATGTCAAACCAATTATAAAATTGTGGCTACTATGCTTGTTAACAGATTGAAGAAGGGAATCTCTAAATTGCTTTCCAAAGAACAAGTTGCCTTCATCCATGGAAGATCTATTGCTGAACACTGTCTATTAGCTCAGGAGCTTTTTCACAAGTTCAAAATCTCAAATAACAAGAAGGTAATGATGGCTGTTAAGCTTGATATGGAGCAAGCTTATGATAGCATGGGATGGGCAACTCTTCGTCATATTTTGAGATAGTATGGTTTTCCTATTGCTTTCTATAACCTCCTCTTGGAATGTGTTGTAGATGTGAGATTTTCCATTATCATTAACGGGAAGAATTCTGTATGGATCAATGCTCAAAGTGGATTTCGTCAGGGATGTCCACTTTCACCATATTTATTCATCATGTGTTTCCAGTTGATCACTAACTAACTGGAGCAAAGAGGGAAGAGTCTTGGCATTCAAATTTCAAGTGGAGGACCGAAGATTACTCATTTACTTTATGCAGATGATGCTCTTATTTTTTCTCATGCATCTGTTGAGCTTGCTAGAACTATGAAGAACATTGTGGAGAAGTTTTGTAAGTGGACTGGGCAAAAAATCAATGTAAGTAAATCTCAGTTGCTTTTTGGTAAGGTGGTCAGCTGCCATATGAGGAAGAAGATTGAAAGTATTCTTGGTTTCAATATAGTGAAGGAAATGAAGTACTTAGGAGTGAAGATCTCACTTGTAAGACTTAAGATGGCTGATTATCAAGAGATTCTTAGTAATGCCATGGAAAGACTTAATGCATGGAGTAGGAAATCTTTATCCTTCGGAGGTAAATTGATTCTCATAGAAAGTTCTTTGCTCTCTATGACAAATTTTCTAATTACCCAGTCTTTGGTACCTAAGAGGCTATTACATGATTTGGAAAAGTTGTGTAGAAGCTTTATTTGGAATAATAATGATAACACTAAGGGGATGCACTACATTGCTTGGAATGACATTTGCAAACCATGAAGTTTGGGAGGATTGGGATTACATTCTCCTATACAGAGAATTGGATCTTTAAGATCCAAGGTGGCATGGAATTATATTCAGAATCCTCACTCTTTGTTTCACCGTGTCATGGAAAGAAAATATGGTGACAATGTAATGAATGGAACTCAAAGGAGCATTAGTTCAAATGCCTGTAAAATTCTGGTGGAAGGGGGGAGTAATCTAAGGATGGCGGTGCGTTGGAAGGTGGGGAAGGGAGATAAAATCCATATTCTGAATGACACTTGGATGCTTGATAGATGCATCAATCGTTGGCCTACTTTTGTGGACTGCAACTTCCTGGATGGTAAAAATGTGCAGCAACTGATTCTATCTAATGGTATGTGGAATTGTGAATTGTTACAAAGACCATTTCATCCATACCTTATTTCTTTAATCACTCAAGTTGCAATTGAGTATGATGGTGAGGACCAGATGGTGTTGATGAAGATGTGTTCGGGGAAGACAGTGTCTGCAATGGTATATGAACAAATGTGGATTAATAAATGCAATTTAGAGGATGTGGAATATTTCAGCTGGGTAAATAAGTTGAACATGAGCAAGAACATTGAAGTTTTCTGGTGGAGACATGGTAAATCAGCTATACCAACTAATATGTTTCTTATGAACCGCAAAATCTCAGATAATTCCCTTTGTCCTAGAGGTTTCCAAGCTAATGAAACGTATGAGCACATTATGGTACAATGTAAGTATCTGATCGAAATCATTATGAAGCTGCGGGAGTGGGGAATTTTTATTCCTATTTTCCATTCGCTGGATTGTTGTTTGGAGAAATTAAGGAAGATGTCTGCCCAGAATTCTGGAATTGTTCGGGTGTATTGTTCTATTGTTTATTATTCTTGGAAGAACCGAAATGATATTAAGCATGGTAAGTCTGCTATGCCATGCTCCATTATTGTTGCTAATGCTCTGTTTTATGCAGTTTCCAAATATGGTCCATTTCTTTCTAGCTGGGGTACTAATCTCCTTAGGGAGTCTCAAAGAACTTGGTACCCTCCACCGAAAGAATGGATTAAGGTTAATGTAGATGCATCTTTGACAAGCTCTAATTTGGCTGGCATTGGAGGAATCTTTCGGGATCACAAAGGACGGTTTATTAGTGCATTTGGAAAGAATGGAATTCATTGGGATATTGGCCATCTTGAGTTACAAGCTGTCCTCACGGTTAAAGAATTTTTGAAGAATTGGATGTTGGAATGTAAAGGGCTAATCATAGAGAGTGATAATATCAATATTATCAAATTCATTCAGAAATTTTTAAAGGAGAATAAGGAGAATGTGGAGAAGTTGCCACACAAGAATTTATGTTTTTTAAATGATTTCAATAAGGTTGTCTTCCTCCATGCCTATAGAAATTGTAATAAAGTAGCAAATTGTTGTGCTACTATGGCTTTGGAGAGTAGTTTTTTCTTTGATAGCTTCTCTTTTGATTGCATTCCTTCCTTGTTGTTAGGTTTAATCAAGGAGGAATGTGATCCCTTTATTACTTGTACTTAGGATCTTTCTTTCAGTTTAATGCTATTTGATGCATTTCTTAAAAAAAAAAACAAAAAAAACAACATTGGTTGACAATGCCACTAAAAAGATCTATCTAATTAGAAATAGATTAAAAACTGTGCATGATAGGAAGATATAGTATTATGAGTTAAAGCTATGTTATGTTGAGTTTTTGGTTGGTGATTTTATGTATATTAAGGTTAACCATATGAAGAGTGTTAATAGATTATGAAGAATTAGTAAAATAAGTCCAATACATACTTAACGTTTTGAGGATATTGAGAGGGTTAAATTATATATTAATATTTTTAGATCGCATGTTTGATATACATAATATATTCCACATGTCTCTTCTGAGAAAATGGGTATCAAACTTTGAAAATTTAATATATGTAGAAAAAGTTAAGGTGGGTCTAAATCTAAGTTACAAAGAAGGCCATAGAGGATTTTGGCTTATGATGTTTGAGAGTTGAAGAATATATAAATTCTAATGATTAAGATGTAGTAGAATAATAAAATAGAAAGAGAAGCTACTTGAGAAAACTAATATGAGATGAGACAATTATATCAGGATTTATTTTAGTGATCCAAGTTTTGAAATGTTGAGGATAACATTTTCCTAAAGAGGGGAGAATTGTAACAACTACAGATTAGTGCACCTTTCCACCTATTCTAACCTAATCTAATTCTAGATAATTCACTAAATTTCTGCATTTGAACCCTTCTACATGTGTCTCAAAATATTTGGTATGCATGTGAAGTCTGTATATATTATGAAGCAGATCCCGAGGGTCAATTTGCATGTTCTAAAAATCTAGAAAAATTTCCTTTTGCATCACAGTGTAGGGTTTAGCTGAGGCCATAACTTTGTGAACTCTTGAATTTGGTCATTAAATGCATATTGTAGGGTTGTAGGATTCTAGAGGGAGCATTGTGACATGAATGATATGGTATCATGATGCTCGACCAAATTTTTATATTACAAATATAATTTTTAACTATTTCATTCATTTCCACCCAATTAAGGAAGCCAATTAGCGAGAGAGATGAGGAATCCTAGAGAGAGAAAGCTATTTTTAGGCTACTTCAATTCATTTTTAGCTATCAAGCCAATTATAAAGCTATTCGATTTGAGGTAGGAAGAATTTATTCTATCTTAGATTTTAAAATACAAAAATTTTGAGACTTTTTTAATTTAAATTATAATTTTATTAGAGAAAAATAGGGATAACTTGATATCTATAAAGCTTTTATTGTGTAATTTTCTATATGTTTATATATGATGGTTCTAAACGTTTAGATATTTTTCTAGAAATTTTATATTGGGTGTTTTGAATAATGCCATATTTTAATCATTTGGAAATTAACTCAGACCCTAAAAAATAATGTTATAGTACAGTTAAAGCTTCAAAATATGCTATGAATAATCTTTGTTAATTTAGGTACTACTCTAAAATAGTGTGTTTTCACTCCGTATTATATTTCATTGCCTATTGTTAAAGTATTCCATTAAATTTTGAAATGAGTTTATTTATATTTATTTTTCTTCAACGTAATGAATTATATATTTATTTTCTTGAAATGTATGATTCTGAGGAGATTTGAGATTTGGTGTGTGTGGGAGAAGTTTTATTCTGGTGCTAAAGACACATAAAGTGCTATTTTGGTGCTATATGCACATTTTGTTCTTGTGCTAGGTATTGATAGTCAAAAGGGCCTATTTTTTGATTTTCAAGCATGGATGTTATAAAGGCCAAAATTCTCTGAATTCTATTCTAGTGGGATATATAAGGGCCTAAGGGAATATCTATTTTTTTATTCTAATATATAAAGTACTTGTTAATTAATTTCATACATTCCTATTTACATTTCTAATAACTATAATTACTATTCTATTAAGTATAATGATTACTATGATATGCTTTAAAACTCATTTCAATGTTAAATAACTGTTTTATTTGAATATTTGAATTGGTGAGTGTGACTTATTGAGCTATGTTAGCTCAAAGTTTATCTATATTCTATTTCAGGGTCTGCAAAAGGGAAGGAGCAAGTTTTTTTTTGAAGCCAAAAAGCAAAAGAGCTTTATTAAGGAACTAAAAAGCAACTTTACATCCTAATAGCATCCGACTCCTTCCTCAACAAATTGATGAATGAAGGAGGGATCTAATTCATATCTACTTCATCCCAATAGAAAGAACTAATACAAGCATAGTTAGCATAAAGATCCGCTAACTTGTTATTCTCCCTATCAATACAACTAAAGACAACAAAATGAAAATCTTTAATAAAAGAAAGATCTCTCAGCTCATCTCCACCTTTATCCATCGTCTCCTTGATGCAATTAATTACATTCTTATTATTTCCTTCAATTATCAAGCCTTTGTAATCGAACATCCACTCCTTCACCACTTGCTTGATCGAAAGAATAGACTGAAGCTCCAAAGCAGCCGAATCCCAGTGTACATAAGCATTGCCGAAGGCCATTAAGAATCTCCCTTGAAAGTCTCTAAAAACTCCCCCAATCCTAGCTTTGTAAGATTTAAAAAGAGCCGCATCTATGTTAATTTTAATCCAATCAGGTGGAGGAGGATGCCAAGTATTCAACAACCTCAACGGTTGATTAACATCCTCGATACCTAAACTTATATAGCTGGAAGTCTTGTATAGTGCAGAAATACTTACAACATTTGATGCAATCATCATAGGGCTGGAACTCTTTCCCTCCTGAACGAATAAATTCCTTGCTTTCCAAGATAAGTAAATTGTGTTACAAAATAGACTCACCACCCATTGGCTTTGATTATCCATCCAATTACAACAATCATCAAGAGAGCAAAATATAGGAAACCCAAAACCCCATCTTTTTAAGTTCTCCATCACCTCAATCAATTTGCTGCAACCAGAGACTATATGATCAATGTTTTCCACCCCTTCACAGCCTCTAGGAAATTTATCATACCCTTGTAGCCTTCAGTAACACAAAAAATGTTTAGTTGGAGTAGCTATATTAAGCAACCTCCACCAGAAGAATTCAACTCTAGGATTTAATTTTGACTTTCCAATCCATCTCCAAACAACGTAATTTGTGTTTTCAGATACCATTGCTTTGGATGCTATAGCTGCTATAATTTTTCCAGAAAAATTAGTGGAGTTCCAGCTTATCCTCTTCTCCATCTGACAAATTCTGTATTGAAGTAATCATTTTTACAAGCTCAATGCAAAAGTGATTTTGAAGTTCTCTGACATTCTAATTCCCATTATGAATAAACTTGTCAACTGTCTGAATGCAGTCTCCCATTGGATTGACAAAAGTAGGCTATTTTTCAATACTTTTATCCAATAACCAAATGTCATTATAAGCTTGAATAGATCTTTCGCCACCTATAGTCCAACTGATAATTGGCCTGAGAAACTCCCCTCCATTGCAAAGTATTTTCTAGGTAACCGAGCCTCCCTTTGTAGCTGAATCTCCACAAGGAATAGGTCCATACTTGGGGAATAGAATTTTATGCATAAGAGTGTCTTTTTCTTGCCAATACCTCCAAGCTAATTTGGCCCGTAAAGGCCCAACTTTCTTTGAACAAGAATTGATCCCAAGACCACCTAATCTTTTTGGCATACACATGAATTCCCAGTTTACATAATGAAAGGATCTGATTTGTCTAAGTTTATATAGGCATTCCTTTTCTAATTTTTATACAATCAAAACTAGTTATTTAAAATTTTGTTTTCTATATTTCAGTCAGAGGTCATGTACTATAGTGTAATCATTGTATATATATTTTGACGAGTAATGAAAATAATTTCCTATAGATAAGATTTTTTTTTGGATATTGGAAGTTATTAACATCTATGTGGTATTTTGTTTGTTTTATGTTTAATTGCATGAATAAAATTTGAATAGTTCCCCCTAAACTCTGATCTTAGATTTGGCTTGTTACAAGCCAACAGGATATAACATGTTCCAACTATGTGTCTTATCTTGTTGGGTTGTGATAGGGACGTAGTTAATTCAGTTGGGATAATCATTTATTACACATCAAACTATACAAACACCTATTTATACTGGATAATCCATTCAGTTAATAATTATATAGAAGACCCCTCGGGATGAATATAAAGTTGAAGATTTTGTGGCATGATCCTCAATTATATTGAAATATTAGATGATCTTCGCACTATTTTGGATGGGATGATTTGGATTTTAATGATCGTACTGTACGATCGACATCATATTATACAATTCAATATAGGCTATAAGTAGAGGGAAATTTTTTATTTCAATTCACACAATCCCTTCTTCCAATCATTCTTCCCTCTTGTTCAAGTCCTTCAGTGTTCTCGATGGATGGCAAGAGAGCATGACTTCTCGTAGGGGTCCCTCTTGACCTTAAGTTGATGATAGGTTCCAATCTTAGGATGATGAAGCAACTGTTCATATATATAACATCACAATGATCACCAGATCAAGGATAATAAATCCAGATGAACTTCAATATCATGCACTAGACCTTTTCGTAGAGACTACACTATAGTTTCCTCTAACCATTATATTCCCTTGCGATAGTTACTATTAAAATTTTTCTCTAGTTTATAAATAAATTGTTGAGACTCATTCACTATGAATTAGGTTGTTAAACCTAAACTTATGTCCCAAGGCTATCCAAGAGGGGAGGGGGGGGGGGGGGTCCAGTGTTGGTAGAGAACCGTTCATCCTTTCACACTCTCCTAGTATGGGCAGAGAACCCTTCATCCTTTCACACTCTCCTAGTGTGGGCAGAGAACCCTTCGTCCTTTCACACTCTCCTAGTGTGGGCAGAGAACCCTTCATCCTTTCACACTCTCCTAGTGTGGGCAGAGAACCCTTCATCTGTTCACACTCTCTAAGTGTTGGCAGAGAACCGGATCTCCTTGACAGATCTCCTCACAAGAAATCTAGAAGGAAGAAAGAAAAGAGTGAAGTAATCTCAATTTAAAATCAAAGAGTCTTACCTTTA